GATAGGACGAGAGGAAACGGCCTCAAGTTGTGCCAGGGGAGGTTTAGATTGGACGTGAGGAAAAATGTCTTTACTGAAAGAGTGGTGAAACATTGGACCAGGCTGCCCAGGGAAGTGGTGGAGTCCCCATCCCTGGAGGTATTTAAAAGACGAGTAGATGAGGCACTTAGGGACATGGTTTAGTGGGCATGGTGGTGTTGGGTCGACGGTTGGACTCGATGATCTTAGAGGTCTTTCCAACCTCAGTGATTCTATGATTCTGTGATTCTCCTGCCCGCCGCAGGCTTTAAGCGTTGGCAGGCGGTGATTAAGTAAGGCCTTGAGCGCGTTAAGCTTGGCACCTGGGCGGTGGTACTTAGCACTTGCGTCCCTTCCTAATCTTTCCACCAGGTGAATTTCCTTTTCACCTCTTCCTTCGCGTCGGCCTTTCGTCCTCCGGCAACTGAGGAAAGCGCGTCTTTGGGAGACCAAATGGGGTCGGAGGAGAGCCACGCTGGTTGGGGTGAACCGCGGTATAAAAGCCTCGCGTCACTGATGGCACCTCGGACCTTAAGCCCGGTCTGAGGGAAATCATCGGATCCCCGCCACGCTTGCTTTGCCCTGGGAGGCACCAGCTTTGCCGTGAGAGGACAGGAGACCTCTCTAGCCAAGCTGGTGTTGGGAAAAGTGCTGGGTTTGTTGGTTTTTTTAGAAAAACAGTGTTGACCTGAATGTTGCTTTAATGTTGACGCCGACAGAGCAGCCGGGGTGGGATTCATTTGAGTAAAAACCTGCAAATTGGCAGGAGTCTTTGGACGTCGTGTTAACTCCCTGGTTGTGAGGGAAGGCGAAGTGGACCTCAGCCTGGGCTCAGCCTCCAAAACCACCTCCCTGCCAGCATCCTCCTCCCGACCCGGACCGTCCATGGGTCCTTCTCTCCAACATGAATTTGATGCGTTTCGACTGCTGGTATTTCCTACTCCTTCAGCCGCGTGAAGGGCTCCTGCCGGGGAAGCAGCCCTGTTCTCCAACCCAGCGTCGGGATGCCCACGGATGGACATCCCACACCTCCCTGCCCAAATGGGGTCGGAGGAGAGCCACGCTGGTTGGGGTGAACCGCGGTATAAAAGCCTCGCGTCACTGATGGCACCTCGGACCTTAAGCCCGGTCTGAGGGAAATCATCGGATCCCCGCCACGCTTGCTTTGCCCTGGGAGGCACCAGCTTTGCCGTGAGAGGACAGGAGACCTCTCTAGCCAAGCTGGTGTTGGGAAAAGTGCTGGGTTTGTTGGTTTTTTTAGAAAAACAGTGTTGACCTGAATGTTGCTTTAATGTTGACGCCGACAGAGCAGCTGGGGTGGGATTCATTTGAGTAAAAACCTGCAAATTGGCAGGAGTCTTTGGACGTCGTGTTAACTCCCTGGTTGTGAGGGAAGGCGAAGTGGACCTCAGCCTGGGCTCAGCCTCCAAAACCACCTCCCTGCCAGCATCCTCCTCCCGACCCGGACCGTCCATGGGTCCTTCTCTCCAACATGAATTTGATGCGTTTCGACTGCTGGTATTTCCTACTCCTTCAGCCGCGTGAAGGGCTCCTGCCAGGGAAGCAGCCCTGTTCTCCAACCCAGCGTCGGGATGCCACGGATGGACCATCCCACACCTCCCTGCCCCGTTCCCTGCAGCCCGGACGGCCGCTCCCCCAAACCGCCTGCCTTCCCAGCCTTGCGGCCCCAGCAC